ATCTTGGACAATATCTGACGATTGGCTTTTTTAAATGAAACCAGAGAGCGTTGACAGAGAGGAGAAGGTAGAAATGACTCAGCCTGGAACTGAAAATATGGATGGAGGACCTCTGTTTAGCTTGTTAGTTTGTTGTGCTGAGCTAATACATATAAGGCCATTTAGAGTTTGCGCTATCACTAAAGCTAACAGGCTAAGCTGAGGTTCTTCTTCCATGAAGCAGCTCTGTTGTCCTCCATCCATATTTTCAGTTCCAGGCTGAGTCATTTCTACCTTCTCCTCTCTGTCAACGCTCTCTGGTTTCATTTAAAAGAGCCAATCGTCAGATATTGTCCAAGATTTCCCTTTAGGGTGGATATAGCTCGCTAGCAGTCTCACATCGAGGACCCATCCACGTCATCATTTACCCAGAATTCTTTGCGTGTAAATAAAATGGCCCCATCCATGTAATATATTTTTAAACTTTTTGTTTAAAAATGCTAAAAACTGAACATTCTACAGTATTTTTACAATCTTTATTTTACAGTTAAATATATGTTTATTAAATAAAGTCTAATATTACAACTAATCATCGATCCCTTTAATACCATTATGTCCTGGTACCCTTTTAACAGTAACTCTGTTGTCTCTCCCCAGCTGGTTGACTGCTTCGGCACACTCCCAAGTCAGTAATGATGTAAAGTGTGGCCCTCAGAGAGCTCTAATAGCAACTTGGCTATCTATCCATGTAGTATGTAAAGTTTTTTTCTTTTTTATTTCTCAAAACTGAGGTGTTCAAAAAGCGACATAGGCATGAAATCTTCAGAACTCTTTCACTGAATCAAAACATCCAGAATATCTCTTTAAGTTTTCCTCAGCATGTTCAGAAATGGAGGTGGCCTGCAGTCACGTTTTGAAATATCCTAATTCAAAAATATATGAGTCAATTTGATGCTAATGTGGAGAGAYGGTGTGTCACTGTGAAATCTGACGCTGTGGTGATTTTTGTTGTGCTCTCCCCTCCACCAGGCATCCTTCGAACAGCAGTACCTAACATGGACAGGGAGACGCAGGACGAGTATCTGGTCGTTCTCCAGGCAAAAGACATGGGTGGACATCTGGGCGGGTTATCTGGCACCACAACCGTCACCGTGAAGCTGAGCGACGTGAACGACAACCCCCCTCACTTCAGGAGGAGTAAGCATCACTGTATCAGATCCACACTTGAAAGTGATGGCTGCTCTCTTGTAGCTGCAGAAAATGTGCGAATGTGAGTGAAAACCAAAATGATGAAACGTCTTGTAATGGCACCGGTGACAGCAGGCTGATGTTTCTCTGCCTCCTTTGGGTCCTAGTTGCCTTGACAGGTTCGAATACAAGCTTTATGAAGCTAAACAGCTTGTCAGTCTACTTTTCCTCATTGAAAAAGCAAATGCAGCAGCACAGCCTGCACCAGAAGCTCTTGCATTAACACTGATATAAGAATTCCCGTGTGGACCCTGAAGCTCAAATGGACAGCGTCTTGAGGTAGAAGAGTGAAAGATCATGTCCTCTTTTTTATCCAAGCTTTTTGCTGTTCCATGTTATTAATATTTCATCTTATAGTTCAGTGCTTTCTGCTTCAATAGACGGCAAAATCACTGCAGAATGTTGCCAACATTTTTAGGCAGACCTTGTATTTCTTTCTTATACCAGTTATTTTTGGTTACTTTTATCCCTGAGTTTTTCCCCGASAGTTTCTGCTCACCATATTCATCTTAATGTTTAAAAGCCTCCTCTCTGTATGTTGATACATTGTGCTGCAATTCAGCATTTTATASAAGCAATATTATAATTCCAAACGCTAGCACTGTGTTATTTATTTACTGATATCTGTCTGTAGCGTCTCCCCTCGCTCTCTCTCCACCTCACTGCAGGCCATTATTTTCACTTTGACAATAATGCCACATTTTAAGCAAACGGCTCATTTAGAATGCTCTTTGAAAGCGAAGGGTGTGATTTTTTTATCTGCTTCTCAGTGTGGAGGAGGCAGAGATTTGATTAAAGTGAAGTATTTTCTGTGGATTTGCTGCGTGTTGCTGTGCGACACCGCGACAAGCAGAACCTATCACTGGATGCCAAGTAAAACGACACAACTTGCCACAGATCACTGGCTGCCCTTTCATGCCTGCAAAGTGGACAGGCTGTAATCCAAGCTGAAAAATAACAGCAGAACAGATTAACTCTGTGCAGCTGTAATTTTCTGTTTAGTAAACATAACTCTTTTATGGGTTTTTTAAATCTCTAAAACCAGTTTTCCAGACTTAGTTGAATGTATGATAAAGAAAGAGAAATTGCTCATAGTGTCAGCAGTTTGAGCACCAAAAATAATCAGACAAAAAAGAACATTAGTCTGCTTTTTGAGCTGAAGAATTCACCTACAATGTTGTTGTTTATCTGCTCTTGTGTCGATAGCAGAATATTAGAGATATGCAGGCAGCTGTTTGATACAGCTTTAAATGAGAACACCACTGTGTTAACATGCTGAAACCAATCAATGGATGATATTGTTCTTGTGTTAAGTTTAGAATTTTTAGAAATAGGTACTACAAAATCTGGACTTTTCAAAGTTTGTGACGTGTGGAGACTTTACTGTGGTGATCAAAGGAACATGTGTTTTTACTTCCTTTACATGGCAGAAATCAGCGTTCCAGTCTTGAAAAGTATTGGAGTTAATTTTAGTAGTTCCCAAATCTTGCCGTTTGCAGTTTCTAAAATAAAAAATAACATTTTTCAGTTGTATGCATCAGCAGGTATTTTTTAACAATGACTGTATAAAAAGGTGAACAGTGTCACCATTGCCCTGTACTCCTAATGGTTACCAACCGCTGATTTTGGGGGGGAGGGCAGTCCACCCTCACCCCASCCCCTCCCCTCCGCAGCTGACAGTCTGCCTGCGTGCACACACCCAGTCAGAATTTTTTGCAAAAAATTATGGATTTTTGAGATTTATTATACAGGTAAACTTATTTTTCCCCAATATTGATCTGAGGAATCACTGGTGTGGATTTTCAGTCATTCTGGACATACAGTATTAATCTCAATGAATTGAATTAAAGGCAATAAGCTTTGTCTTTTTAACCCAGATAGCAAAATATGAGTGAATCAWCATTGAAATATCGTTAGGCATGATAWTGAATCCATGTTGAAYTTRTGCAAAAASTGGTCGGTGACTTACTTGTTGAAACAATGTTGGGTTTTCAACCATAACTGATACTATATCAGTGTTGATTCTACATTGATTAGACGTTGGCATTTCTGTCATTAGAATTCAACCATGAAACAACATTGGTTCAATAACATMTTTTCAACACTGGTTAATAGTTAGAATWGGATGATTGTTTAATGGTTGATTCACCATCAAACATAAACTTTATCCAGAAATTAACTTTTTTGACCATAATTCAACATTGAAGGTTTAGAATTAAAATAAGAAATTGCTAAAATAAAAACCTAGTTGTATTTGACAAGGAAGGAGCGCCTTCCTGTTTCATAAAGCTTAATTAATTTTTCTCTTTCTTTTGGCTGCTCCTTTCTTCAGGAGTGGCCACAGAGAGCAAACTCACAYGAAGATATGACAAATGTTTTATGGTCTTGCTGATGCAACCACCGAGCCTCACACGTTCRGTGCCAGAAACTAAGTCTCTACTCCTGCATATACTGTACAACACAAATTAGTTAAAAAAAAACCCATTCATATTTAATGATGCAGCAGTAAAAAGAACACAAAGTGAAAAGGTTTTTCAGACTGATCAGAGAGAAACAGCCACAATTTATTCCTATTCAGGCTGCTCTTAGTAAAGTAATCAGCTCCTCTGCTGCAGCTTTTGTTTATTCTCTGCGACAAAAAAAAATGTGTAAGTATTTCTGCCATTTAAAAATACATCTACACGCACAGCAGAACAAGGTTTGGAGTTAACCAAGATGACCTCCGAAGCTTAGTCTGTTTTAMAGCYAGTGAGCTAAACTTTTGTGTKGTAGTAGATATTATCTGCAAAGTTTCACCAAAATCACTACAACTGCTTTATTTCTCAACATTAGACAATTTTAGTTTAAACTTTGGCCTKAAGGAAGGTGGGTGATGTCTATTCCCTCATTAAAAATCTGCTACATTTACAGATCTTCTCTACAAACAGCTTTATGTAAATACATGAACAAAAATCATTTGTACCGTGCAACTCAAAAGTAAAATAAGCAGTATTTGCTCCATTATTCTTTCCTCTGAATAACATGCAAGACCCACAAATAAGAAATGCTTCTCCAGAAGTGTATAATACAGTTTTCCACTGAACCAATGAACCATTTCGCTTTAGAATTGCCTGAAGAAATAAAAAAATCCTATTATTTGTAGAGTTTACTGCAGTGATCCCAGCAGCCAATAACTCCTCCACTGAATGTAGACATGTAATATATTTAGATACATATGAGAAAGTGAACAATGCTTTAAATCTCACTGTGAAATACGTAGGAGAGCAGCTGTACGTTAATGACAGCTTTATTTGGGCTCAAAACTAAGCAGAACTCCGTCTTCATGAACATTCAAACTCTCCTGCTCCTTTTATTGTGTTTCTGCAGGTGCGTGGTCGTTCTCTGTGTCGGAGCTAGCAGCTCCAGGTGTGGAAGTGGGCCGTCTCACTGCCACAGACCCTGATCTGGGAGAAAATGCCCTGCTGGAGTTTACCATCCTGGACACGGAGGAGGCGGACATTTTCAATGTAACCAGAAGAGGCAAAGAGGCCGTTATCATCCTGAACAAGGTGAGCCGCTTCAGACGAGCACGGATCCAAAGCAGCTGGAGTTTATCTGAGGAAAACTTTTTTCTAGTAGACAACGATCTGAAGATGTTTCTGCTTAAATGGACGCTCTTAGTGGGTCTAATGTTTCATACTCCCTCTGCTGCTGATCATTTCTGACCTGCAGGGCTCTACAGTGAGCAGCTAACAAATAATGACCTGGAACAAAACTGCTGCTTCTTTTTGGAGGGAGATCTCATTAAAAGCAGCCAGGGTGTTGTTGTCCTTTTGTTTGTTGGCRTTTTAAAAACATTGTGCATTTAGAGGTAGTTATTGTGTTATGGACTGTTAAAAGAGAAAAGTACATGTTTGATAAAACGTCAACTAGAAAAAAAAGTCTCAGATAGAAAATTTGAGCTAAATAGAGATAAAAATCTGAAAAATCTTTAAGTAAAGATCTTGCATTTTTAAGAATGCATATTGTGAACTATACTCAACTACAAATGCTTTAAATTTTAGCTTAATATTTATCAAATAGGCAAAGCTCTTTATTTAATGGGTCTATTTTCCAACCCTCGCCTGTTGTCATGAGGCGTGGATCATGACGGAAAGAATGAGATTTCGAAGACAAGCAACCAAAATGAGCTTCCTTCGTAAGTGGGCAGGGGTCGGCCTTCGAGACAGGGTGAGGAGCTCCATCATACGGGGGAGCTCAGAGTAGAGCCTATTCTCCTCTGCATCAAAAGGAGTCAGTTGAGGTGGTTCGTCTGATTAGGATGCCTCCTGGACGCCTCCCTTTAGAGGTTTAAAGGTGCATCCCACTGGTAGGAGGCCCCAGGGAGACCAAGGACTGTGTAGAGCAGAAGAGCCTAAATTAGGGCCCGCGGCCGCCAAGCTATGTTATTTGGCCCACCAACAATTACCATAGTTAATAGGTTGTAACCTGTCATACTATGTAGAAACACAATATTTCCACTTAAAGATATTTTATCCATTGGCCCAATGACTATATAAAGGGCTGTAGTACAGAYAGTTTTCACTCATGGTGCTGACTTTATCTTTGATATATTACGATTAAACATGAAACATGAAATACAAGTAACAACAAGTGACATTTARAGTAGATTTAACCACTGTCGATTTGCACACTTTATAAGGCCACAAAAACTCTCTTACTAATGCCAAATTTTATCAATTTATGAAATTTCCCACGAGCCTTTGCTGCTTGAGTGTCTAGCTTTCTCCAAGTGCACAGACTGAAAYAAAAGTGGGCCACCGCACTGGCTGCTAGCTTAATCGTTAAAAATAATGGGCATTAATTAAAGAGTATTTGTATTTCATGTATTATTTTTCTGCATTTGACCCACAGCCCCGGATAGATTTTCATTTTGGCCCTCCTGGGGGAAATATTTGGGCATCACTGGTCTAGAGGGATTATGTATCCTCTCTGGTCAGTCCCCCAGTTTGAGCTGGAAAGTGTTGGGGAGAGGGAGGTCTGGACTTCTCTCCTGGACCTGTTGCCTCTTTGATCTGACTACAGATAAGCAGCAGATGATGGAAATGGAGATTTATTAAATGGGCTGAAATATTGTAATTTTTGTGTTTTCTAAGGTCAGATGGCAGATAAACATCTTCAACAGGGATTATTTTTTCCAAGTTTTATTAAAATTTGTCCAATGGTTCATAGGATATTTTTGTAATACACAGTCACAAAACGCACACACTTGCACACACTCACATACACACATGTGTAAACATATTATCATTCATCTTTAACGTTTTGGCGGTGGGCAATAATGAATCATGTAGTCTGTTGTGTGCGGGTTAGTAATACACATATACATACATATACAGTACATATTATTCATAAATAGAAAGTCTTTATCAAAGTAAATCCTGCTGATTGTGACTCTTTGTCTCCTGACAGATACTGGATTATGAAACCCGCAACTCGTATACTTTTTCTGTGGAAGTTGTGAATCCCATCGTGGATCCCAGATACATTAGGAAAGGACCCTTTAAGGACCAGACAACGGTCCGAGTCATGATCCTCAATGCTGATGAGCCGCCACTGTTCTCACAAGCGTTTTACCACCTGGATGTGTCTGAGAACTGCCCTCCTATCTGCTCTGTGGGCCGGGTCCACGCTGTGGATCCAGACACGGGACAAAGCAGCAACATCAGGTAGGGCTGTRCAATTTATTAAACTTTTCTTTTCTTTACTCAGCTTCAAATGTTCACAAAACCAGTATAATCAACAAAATATGTAATCATTAAAGTGTGCTCTTACTTTGTCTAGCCTCCTGAATGAGCTGCAGCTTCACCCCAGTTGCACTCAAAAAACAGATTGTTGGATTTACCTAACCRAGTTRTGTCAGCAGTTTCTACTAAAGTAACTGAGTTGAGTAAATGTAAAGCCACTTGCACATTGAAAGGAATTGCAAAAGTTGCTTTACACACAAAGTATATAACAACACATTCAAGGCACCCAACAAGCTGGACATGTTTGTATTAGTCTCCCAGCACCAATGTAATTTGTTACTGCTTTGTTTTTAAGTTTATATTACATGCCGGAACACTAGGGGGCACTGTTAGGCCTGTAGTGTTTGTTATGGAGGTTTATGCTCTTCTTGGTGCTGGAAGTGGTGTGTGGGAAAAAAATGAAATAAAGGCAGAAGTAAAGTTTGCCTGATCCAAGAAAGAGGAGTTATTTTTGACTAACATAATTTACTTTATTTTTAAAACTTTTTTTTCTCTTTAAACATTGTAATTTATTTATTTATAAATCCTTGTTTGAATACTAAATACACAAGTTATATGTGCAGTAATGAGGTACAGTAAAGAAGAAGTCCTGGCCCTCGGCAGAGCTGACTTTGAGTCCAAACATGGCCTGCTGGCATCCTACTTCTGAACCAGTCTGCTTTAGTTGTCCAAGTGTGACAGCAGTGCTTTTATGTGAACAGAGAGGCTGAGGGACAGTTACCCCAAAGCAGAAACGGGACAAGCGAGGTGGGCTACATGTTGGGTTAAAGGCTAGAGGCAGACTGCAGCTACCAAAGAGTCTTAGTTCAGCGTGAGATGGGAGAAGGTTGTGGGACATATGGGACACGAAGCATAAAACAAAACGTTAATTATTTTTATTGTAATTGTTTTTGTACCTTTTTTATTATTTTTTTGCAGTGATTTTTGGTCAACTCCAAAACTATTCAGCAAAGGAGCTTCAGATTTCTTTTGTTGTTGTTTAGCTCTGATGAAAGGCTATCCATCGGAACCTCCAATGAGCACCCCCATCCAAAACAATGAATATGTTCTGGTGACTTCTGAGTTCTGGTGCATTGGTGCTTTGCGTATGTGTGGGGGTCATATATGTTACCACTATGCGGTATCTAGTTTAGTTTCACTTTCTGAGTATAAAATCCTAGTTAAAAAAAAAGGAAAAAATTGTATAGGTCCTCTGGACGGGTTCTTCTTTAATGAAACGTTTCGTCTCTCTTCCAAGAGACTTCTTCAGTCTGAGAGTTTCAGAAGGAAGACCTGGCTGATTGCAGATTTATCTGTCCACAGGGATAGGACAGCATCATCAGTGTGAGATCCTCAGATC